TTCCCTACTTTTTCCTTCCGTTGGACTCTTAAAAATAAATGTTCCTATTTGAGCCACTCCTAGTTATTTTTCCTCGTCCTATTGTGAAAACTTAAACTTTGAATTCTTAAAAACTAGTACTTCTGATCATTATCGAGAGTTTTTTCAAGTGACCCCCGTCATTTGGGATGTAATTACCTATAGGGGTTTGCCTCTATAGGGAACTTAAACCCAAATAAAATAAACCCTACTAAGTCTTTATATTAGGTAGGAGAACTTTTCGGTCGCATATAAAAGTTTCGCAGACCAAACAGATGTCACAAATCTCTTAGTTTGCATGATTGAGTCTACCGTCGAAATATACACTCACCTTTCGGAAATATATAATATTCACGATATCGGGCACAATTATGCAAACTATTGGACGAATGAGATCCATTTGGTATCATTTCATTTTTCAAAAATTAAATTAAAACATACTACTTTCAAAATCAAAAATATATCTCTTATATTTAAATTAAATTTCAAAAAATTATTTTCTATTTTCAAATTTTCAAAAAGTTGACCGACAGTGACCATCATTTTTCAGCACTCCTCTGTACACAACTCCTGATCTGCTTTGGTAGATCAGATCCTTGAAACTCTGCATCGCCTTCTTGAGTTCTATGATAGATCTCCTGAACTGGCTTGAAATCTACTTCTAGTTTTCTGCCATCAAAAACCTGTTATAGGCTTTGCAGTATACAAACCACCATCCTATTGCAATTAAAAGCTCCACACTATAAAAAAATTGTAGCCAAGAAACTGCACAAGTAGATCCAAATCATACTTTTTGGTGAACTCTTCAACATTTTTGAAGAGCCAATCATTGAATCAAGTTCAGTTGCATTGCAAATTAGCCCTTTCAGCTTTGGCTTTGAGCTGTTTATGATTGTGACAGAGGATCAGTCCCTTTGTTTTATGGCATGCTTTAGAAATAACAGACTCCAATTCCCAACCTATAAGAAAAGCCTTGACATTTGCAATCATTCATTCATCTGCTCTTGCATTCATCGAAGGACACAATGTTAGTAAGATTAAAATCAAATTCCCAAAAATCTTAAATACTTGAATTCCATCTCCTCTTGTTTCATTGAGCAGAAGAATATTGCTACCATCAAAATTGAATTCAAAGTATCCTGAAGAAAGAGACCCTCTTGCTCTTGTAGAAACAAGCTTGGTGTTCTTGGTGATGATTGTGAAGGGAGGAGGGTGTCGGCTGGAGAGTTGAAGCATTTTCCATTAAATTTTGTCATTTAGGTTACTGATAATGAGGTTTCTGTTGTCTAGGAGACTAACACGGTCAACAGCTGAGGAGGTTGCAGTGTTGCTCCAGGCTAACGTTCCATAAGTTGGTGGGTACCAAGACACTATCATTGTGGAGAATTAGCCGTGAGCAATGGGGGTTGGCCACAATTGGCTGACTTGGTGAACCAGATGAAGAAGGTGAAGGCGTTGGTGCCTACTTTGTTGGAGCCATCTGAGAAGATATTGTCATCAGAGATGAGCGACCGAGGGGCCATATGGGGCAGCTTATAAGCATCGGCGGCGTTTTCAAAACGCCGTCGTGCTGCTTGGTTAATACTTTCAGGGAAATTATTGTGAAACGCGGTTTTGGAATCCTTAATAGACGGGGCCGCAAGACCGAACTCGTGGCCCGCGTCTTGGATGTGCATTCGACGGGTTATGTCCTCCCGTGCCCTTCGGGTGTCCGTCTCCTTCCTCACTCAACCTTCGCGGCTTCGCAACAACATAACTTAACCCTAATCCGAATTCCAGCTCTTGCGAGATGGTCGGAAAATCGAACTATTACCAATCTTGGAGGCGGCAGTGAAGTTGTCTTTGTCTCGAGATTCTTACTGTCGGAGCAAGCTTGGGCTTGGTTCGACTATCTCGACAAGGAGATCCCGTGGACGAGGCCATTGATCCACGTCTTTGGAAGGTCTTGCCTTCAGGTTACTTCGCTTTTTAACATTTATATTTATGTAGTTTTATCCTTTCAATTTTGTAGATTTTTGGGGATTGATTATGAATGCTCTGGAAAATGTGTTTGATGACATCTGTTTTTTTTTTTTTTTGAAAGTTTGAATAACAATTGTAGACACTATAATTAAATTTTCAATAGATAGTAACTTGTGTGAGTAGATACCTGAAGTTGATCTTATCTAGTTAATGGTTATCTGTTAGTTTGTTGTGGCAAAGAAAATATAGAAATGGTGGATTGGACTGTTATGTCTGATAATTTCTGATGCCATAAGGAACCATTGTGATATTTATTTAATTCCAATATGTTAACTCATGTGCCTTTAATTGTTGAAAAGTTAGGTCGTGAATGAGGTGGTATTTTATTTTATTTTTAATTACCTCATTACCACGATTATGTGTCTGAATTATCATTATATCCTCATGGAAACTAAACTTCTCTAATCTTTAGGTTTTTTTATACTCATTCTTAAGTGATGTGTATATTCTTTTTTTATACTATTATGAAGTGATTTTTTTTGTTCTAATCTATCAAATATATAGTCATTATTGTTCTGTTACAAACAACACAACTTCACAGTGGCAGAATTTTTTATCCAGAAACAACAGCAAATCAGCTATTTTTCAAATGCACAAACCAAACAGCTATTCAAATTATCTGGATCCGCTGCTGATCAACAGCTTATCAGAATAAACTACTTAAGTTGGATAAGTTGCAGCTGTCTCAATTAGGTAGGAGTTTTGAAAAGATGGAGTTGAGGATAAGAGGAGCTGGTGAGGAAGGTGAGAAAGAGAAGAAGGATATCTATTTCATTTTCTAGCTTGAATGCGATGACAGAAGGGTATGGTTTCTTGCTTAAATAGCTGCCGGGTACTTTATTTGCCGATCGTCCCTAAGATTTGCTTGGCTTGTATTAGTTGAACTTTTCTGATTATCAGGTGGAACAGTGGGATTTTTATTAATTTATCCTTCCATGTTTTTCTTTTTGTTTTTTTCTTTATATTAATAAATGTCAAGGTTTTCTTCTAATAAGAAGGAAAGCAGCTTGCTTTAGCTCCTTGGGAAAGACTTTACGAGTCTTTATTGGTGGAAGTGTCTACGGGCCTTTTTGGAAGGAAATCTTTATAGTTATGAGAGATTGATAGTTGAGAATTAGTGCACAATTTTATTATAGATTCTGAAGTAATTTTTTCTTCTAGTGGCCTCATCAAGTTATAATTTATTATTACATTGTTGTTGATATCAACTTTTTATCATTCTACTCAGACGCGTGACACAAGATTTTAGTTCATGTTCTTAATTTCATCCCCTTCTCTTTTCATCATCTTTATTTTTGTCTCTTATATATATATATACACCGAGTGTAGGTGAGTTGGTGGCGGCTTTGCGTAAGTCCCCTCACGATTTGGATTCAAATCCTTAACCAGACGGGATTCAAATTTGCACATGAGATTGGTTAAGGGTCCGCCCTTCGACCAATCCTTATATATATATATTTGTGAGTTATATAGAAACAAAAGCTAAGAAATGAAACTGAGAGATTCGGCTCAATTGTTTTATATAGTTCAAGATCTAATCAGACAATCTGGCTAGAAATCTAGAGAGAGAGAGAGAGAGAGCTGTACCCTTAAATACACACAAAAAACCAAAAGAAGCATGGAGTATAACCCTGGTGGCTGGTGATGGGATGGGCTTAGATAAAAGTATTAGTAAATTGAAATTCCTTCAAACTTTTTATTCAACGCAATAACAGCAAAATAAATTGAGAGCACAAAAATACTATACATATTGAGAGCTTCTGGGAAATACTAATACAATTAACTCCAGTATTACCGAAGATTGTAGTCTCCAATTGGATTGAAAACGGAGGCGCTGCACATGCAATTTAATGAAGAGATGGTCAAGCGAATTACTGAGATTAAAATTGACAAATCTCTGCAGAATGATCATATTACACTTGCTACTCCCTTCAACGGTAAAACCATTACCGCCACTGCATATGAAGCCAGATTCCCACCAAGTACCGAGAACTATATCTGGATCGTCAAATTCCAACTACACCCACGTGAAAAACTCTTTTGGTGGCGTCTATTACAGGATGCCATCCCCACTCGTTCATGGCTAGCTTGTCATGGGCTAAGTGATGACATGTTATGCCCATGGGGCTGCTCGGTGGAAGAGAACAGATCTCATATTTTAACTAACTGCTCTTGCTTTTGCAGGACCAAGGATAACTTGACTAAATGGGGAATTCCTACCCCTTCTTTCAACAATTTTGATGAGGCCATTAATGGTCTCAAAACCATCCATAAGAGCAAAATTGCTGCAGCCAGATGCTTCTGCCATCTTGTTCATAATTTTTGGAGGGCACACAACGCTAAGTGCCACAACCAAGCCCATAGCACTCCTACTATCATTGCTACCACGATTATCGAGGCCCTCCTGCTGACTCAATTTCACCCCTTTCAGGAGCGATGGGTTGCTAGCCAGTTGGTTTATCTTTCTTCCTGGCGTCATCCCCCTCCTGGTTGGCTCAAGGTTAATGTTGACGGTGCGCTTCTTCCCTCTGGTTCAGCTGGTATTGGTATCATTGTTCGGGATGAGTAGGGAGTTGGTATTATTGTTGCTGGGCACCAACTTGAGCATTGGGATAGGGCCCAAGTGGAGCTTCAAGCAATCAAATCTTTACAGCACAATTTTAAGCTAGGGTGCTTGAGTCCAAGGGTATCATCATTGAAGGTGACAACTCCAACATCATGAGGTTTTTGAGAACTACCATGCAAATGAAGGTTTGGAGTCAACGACCTCAGGAGGCGCCTGATTTTACCTTTTTGCTGAATTTTAGGCTGGTTCTTCATTTTTGTGCCAAGTGTGCCCTTGGAGGTTTCTTTATTTTGATGTGTATAGATGATGATAGGGACCATTCTACTATACTTGAGCACACTTTTATACATCATAGATGCATACCTGCACAGTTTTTGTACTTTCTTAATTTAGTAATGCAAAATGCACATCTTCAAGGAAAATAATCTGTTGATCAAAACAAAAAGCAAATCCCACAAACCAAAGCGAGCAAATAACAGTCGAAGCTATAGTTGTCAGATTTCCCACATTGTAACTACTTCTGACGAAAGGGTATATATACACGGTCGCCTGCTCTTAAACCATATGAATTTGACCCTAGGTTACTAAAAGAGCATCTTTACAAATAGCTTGCTTTAGAACAAGAGAGTTTGTATTTTTTTTTGGTAATATTTCCGTCATAGAAAAATGTGGACATCAAAGCCGTTAACTTTATGAAACGCATTCACCTACACACTTTGGGGAAGATTTCAAATAACTTCATGTTATTATTTTTAACGGAAGATTTGATTTTAATATAAATGTTAAAATACTCCTTGTTATGGCGGCTAGTATTGCCAATGTAGCTTAAGCCCATTGCAACATCACACTATGATTTGATTTTTTTTTTTTAATAAGAAATTAACTATCATGTTATGGTTGGATGATGGGCCACTACCTATGTTCTATTTTTTTTGGCTATTTTAGCTTTTTTTTTTTTTGGAGATTTACAATACAAAACACCAAACTTCAATTATTACATACTTTACAACTAACTTTCAATTATCATACCAACTAGCATCCTATTAACATGGTTTACATATCTTGTCATAGCTGCCGTTGCTGCTCGTCGATGTAGAAACAAGGAGTACTCGAACTGAATTTTATAGAGATTTGTGTTTCTCAGCTTAATATTCTTATTAAATTTTTGGTCGGCTCTAATTTGTAAAGGTATTTGTTAGTCTATTGTGCTTTGCTAGCATTTGATGTAGTCAATTAATAGATTGATTTTAAAATTTTAAAGGATATATTGGGTATATGTTGATGGTGTGGTTTAGATGATGATTAGGTTGATTTGTATGATGATTATTTACTTATATAGAATAGTTTATTAAGAAATTATATTTAACTTCAAGTCGAATTGTTTTGATTTGAAGATCATTTTCTAGTTAACTAAAAAATCGATTGCAGTGGACTCGAAATTAATAATTGATAACTAACTCGGGTAATTTTCTCACAAATTTAAGATGTGTTGTTTACAATGTCTTAAAATTAAAGAATATTAATGAGATGTGAAAAGAATGTATCTTAAAAAGGAAAATTGTGCTGAATTTAATAGTAGATATTAAAATTTAACCAAATTTTGAGCAAGTCGATCTGACTAGAATCATATCAAAATTGTTAAGAGTTCGTAAGAGTTGAGCAGTATAAATTTCATTTGGTTTTGAGTAACAATAATTATACCTTCATAGCAAATTATATCAAATTTTGTAACTCGTGCTGTATAAAATAGATAGTTATTTGCTAACACACGCATAGACAATATATTGTTGTGAAAAATGTGACGGCAATAAAGCGAAAAATTGGATCGAGAAAAAATCCGCAAATTTGTCTAAGTCTACGGAATTGCAGATGATTTTATTTCTTCGAGGAATGCATCTGTCGATCACCTCGACGATTACAAGAAAACTTGTCTTCTCTTCTCTCTCCTTTCCTTCGACCTCCTCTCTCCTCCTTTACCCGTGAGCCACCAAAGAGGAACGAAGCACGGGAAAGAGGGGAAGTCCTCACTGCAAGCAAATCGCAGAAGAGATGGAGGGAGAACTTGGAATCTTACAATTTTTATTTTCTTCGTCGTGAGCCAACGCCTTATATAGAATTGTGGAAGGGGAGAACAACCACAATTTAATCCAATTTGTTCTGCAAGTATTTAATGGTGACGTTCAAATATTTAATTTCTACAAGTGGACGTGGGCTCCACTAAACCACACATGCACAGGTATGTATGTATGTATGTATGTATGTATGTATGTATGTATATATATATATATATATATATATATATATATATATATATATATATAACTGAAGTGAATGAAACGAAAATCTGAAGAAGATTGATATAAGAGATTTTAAGAGATTCGACAATATGTCTATATCCTCGGGAGCAAAGCGGCGGTTTTTATTCCAGAAGTAAAAGTATAGTTCTCATAGGATTACAAATATTATATACAAATACAACCCTTTATGAAATTATCAAAATATTCATATACCGTATCATGGGGGCATTGCCCCAGCACTCCCAACCCACTTAACGAAACTCCCCCATTTGAACAGATGTTTCCACTGCACTCCACTCCGCTCTAATATCTGTCACATATGAGTCATACCTAACGGTAGCCATAAAAAATTACTTTATTGTTATAGATTGTTAGATTGATGAAATTTTATAATAAAATTTAAATAAATGGCTATAACTATTAAATTGAATTAATATCTGTCGAGAGTGATGTGAGAGTAGCATCCAACGATGCTGCAATCACGGGATCGAAGCGCGACGGGTCCCGTCAGGTGATGGATTCTCCCCGTCATCCGGGTCTGGTGATTCTATTGTTTGCTTTGTTGTTTTCCGGCTAGACGCCCTTCGATTTGTTGTTTCGGCATCCATTTGACATTCAACTACTTTTTGATTTGCTGTCCCGCAATGCTCCTAATCAATCTCATAACCTTCCCACACCGTCTACCTGCCCTAGTTCTTTGTTAGGTGGAGTATGATGCCTCAAATTTAGAAATTATTGCTACTTTAACTCACATTTTAGTGAAAATATTCTACATATAAGGAGTTTTATGCCATAGTTTGAGCACTAAACTTTTGGTTTAGCACTTGTAGTTAATGAGATTGTTTTCTCTAACGATGTGGTCCTTAATTACGTGCATTGCCACAAAAAGTTAGAGGGGCACCACATTGCTCTAGTCAAATTTCATTTATCATTCTATTGTATGCTCAAGCATAAATTTGGAGCTCATAAAAAGGTGACATATGCTTCAAGTCAAATTCATTTGTTGCTCAGTCCACTTCAAATAATGTTGTTAGGATCTGAAAGAAGAGAGCGATCCTTTTTTTGCAAATGAGGCCATGCAGTATGAAAGGTATGTAGGCACATTTAAAACTTGTTTTTGGTTTGCTGTAAAACCAATTTTAACTCCTAACAGGAGGATGCTATGCATTATATTTTTTCTATTTAGAACTATAAAGATTTAATGTTTTTTATATACATAATTTTTTTTATTAATTCTTTGATATTTTTATAAAAAAAAATGGAAAATGACTTCTAGTTCATGAACAAATCCTCTTCTTTAAAGCGCGAGCTCTAAATTTTCAAATTATTCACAATCATATAGAGGAATAAAGTTTTAAAAGTGGGATAAGTGCGAATCCTCATTGTTGTGTACAATTGCAAGACAATTTATGGACAAACTTTTCATACAATACCTAAATGTATGATAAATTACCCCAAACTTAGTTGGGGGGAATACTCCTCACTCTGCCAATCGCCATTTTTTGTTGCTATTTACAATCACTTAATTGTTTTCAGAGCTGAACAAGACACTTTTAGCCATTTCTAGTTACACAGAGAAGAGCATTTTTATGCTAAATAAAGATTTAAATATCTAAAAAATATTTAAATAGGCAAATAAGTAAGGTATGATGCTAATTATTTGTGTGTCTATATATATATATATAGAGAGAGAGAGATAGAGAGAGACAAAGAGAGAGAGCGCCGCGTACTCAGATCAGTTGGTCAGGCATAGCATCTGCTTGTCAGTTGTAGGTCCCCTCTGGTCTAGGTTTCGATTCCCCCGAATGTAGGGTTTGGTACTTGAATTTTTAGGCGCATGAGAAATGGCTAGGGCTCGTATAATAGCCTCCGGGCATTTCTTTTCATATATATATATATAGAGAGAGAGAGAGAGAGAGAGAGAGAGAGAGAGAGGGGCAGGGAAAAATCTTTTGAAAAAAAGATTATCCTTGCATTTTCTTGATCGAATCATCAGCTACACTTTAATTATCATCGTACACCCTTTATTGAAATCTTAGATTATTAGAAACAATATTTTCAAAAGGTGATAACCCGTTTATTTGGTTTCTAAAAATATGGCATTTAAAAGTTGGTGGGTTGGTATATGGTGCTTTACCATTATAGTTGCACATATATTGTTTCAAATCTCCAGATTATTTGAAAGGTCCTACAAATTTAAAATTACAATTATCTTTTCATGAAATAAAAATTATCCTTTTAGAAGTTGAACTTGATCTTGATGCTTTTACAATCATGTATTTTCTAATTTTATAATAAAAAAATGATTGATTTAGATCTTACATTTGAAGCTCGTACACCCCTAGGAAGTTTGCAATTGAGATTGTACAAAGCACAAAACTTCAGTTGCCCAAATCCCATGGTGCAGCAGAAAAACTTCTCCAATGGCTTTTTGAGCAACCAGACGAAGAAATAATCTCCTAAAAATCTATTTCACATTTCTGGAAGTGAGTGAGAATTGTAACATGTCTAATTTCAATTCTTCCAATATGCTCAATGATAGGTACATAAATATTTTCTCTAATCTTGGTAGGGCTGTCAAAACGGCTTGTTGTTCGTGAACAGTTCGTATTATGCTCATTAAGAAGCTCGTTTTCGATTCGTTCACTAAGTTAACGAGTTGAACACGAACATTTTTTTTGTGCTCGATATATAAACGAGCCAAACACAAATAAAGATTTGTTCGTTCTTGTTCGGCTCGTTTTGGCTCAAAATACTACTCTTCAATTATATATATATTGATGACTAATATTTTAAAAAAAACTAATTAACTACAAGGCTACAAAGTATTAATTAAGAAAATTGAATAAATATTATTAAATTAGATTTAAATGATTAAGACAATAAGATTTAAATCTTGCCCCTACCCTTTACATTATATAGTTACGTGATTAGGGTTGTCAAAATGACTCTTTGTTCGTGAATAGCTTGTATTTGACTCGCTAAGCAAACGAGCCGAACATGAACACACTTGTTGTGTTCGAAATATAAACATGTCGAACACGAACAGTGATATTTTTTACTGAGCCTAGGCTCTTCGTGTTCGGCTCGTTTACACCTCTAATTCTTGGATTGGTCAGTAGTGCTAAGCCAAAAAATTCCAAAATTGCTTCACATGGCTTGTTAATGGGAGACTGGGGAATTGTTGAGGTTCAAAATCTAGTGTTATCATGATTTTAGATCCAAGAGCTGGATTTGACAAGGAGATGGATTTCATTAGTGCAAGTTTTTGTCAAATCCTTTATATTACTTATTAGAATATTACTTATTAGAAATGTTTATTTAACATGCCTACATGTAAACTAGTTGCAACTTGCCCCTTTTTAATCACTAACATTTTTATTTTTGTTTTCTTATATTATGTTATTTCGTATTTAATAAAATGCTACTCAAGAATTTTATAGGGACGGTTCTGTGCGTTCAATGGTCAAGGGTGGGAATAACACTATCTTCTTCTGCAGTGGATTTTACTCATCTCCTTGCTCTTGGCAGCTTTAGATTTGCAGAGGTCTAAAGAAAGTTAAGGCTTTCTTGTTACATATCAAAATGCTGTTATTATCGGTGAGCTAAAGAGGTTGGTTCAAAATCCTCTTTTCTAAGGTTTCATCCATTTTAACAAATACTTGTAAAATTTTGTGGGACTTATGAAGAATTTAATAAGAGCCCATTTGATTTTTTGCCATCAAAAGTTTACGTAATGATAAAAATGTTCATTGAATGCGATATAGAAATTCTGAGCTGGAATGTGCTCTCTTCTCTAGTTTCCAATATAGAATAAAATGTTTCAGGCAAAACTCTTGTTTAACTCTTTTAATTAATGCAGGACTTACGCAGTTGAATGAATCATCATGTAAGGATGAAATGCTAGTCGTGGAGTCCATCAAGGTAAACTTCATAACCTCCATTAAGTTGAGTGATTGTGCCGAAGTACTTTCTAGTGCTCGACTTAATCTTATTCTTACTTCTGGTTCTTTTCTTTTGTAGAGCAGTGACCACTTCTAGGTTTCTTCTTTTCGGAGCTCGTAAGACTACTGAATATGATGACCTGTAACTATCATCTTTCTTGATGTATTAATCTTCTGCATTGGTAACATGTTTGCTTATCCTCTTTATATCAAATCTGGAAGTATTACGTAAATGGGGATGAGGTGCATGAGAATCGAGAGAATGTAAAAGCAAGATACAGCAGTAAGGTGCACACTGCCACTTGGGTCTAGCCTATTAGACTAAAAACTGGTCCAATTTTCATCCTTGATGCAAGAAAATATGGTGCCCTACCTACTACATTGCAACTCTTTTCTTTTGCCCCTGGTCATTTATTTTAGTTAAACATCCATGTGTGAAAGATTTATTGTGTAAATTTGGTAACACATATCTGTTTTGTTGTCTTTTTTCTCTGTTCTAAGAGAAACTTTTGGGCAAGTGGTTCTGCCATGTAAAATTGGTTATTAATTTCAACTTCTTGTTGACACTAATCTCTTTTTTATTCCAGAAGGAAAAAACTACTCGATCTCACAAGAAAATTACATAGAAAAAAAATAACCGCAGCATGTCAATATTTTTAATTGATCACACTGACGATGGATGGCAATTATACAAGTCCATCTATTGAGTGCTAAAACTGAAAAATTGTACTGATTTTGTAGCATAAGAATGGTAGTCTTTCATCACTTGAAGGCAGCATCTCAACTACAACTTCCATTGTCGTTCGTTTGTTCTTCTTGACTAGAAATCGCTGACTCACCATTTTCATTGCTTGTTTACAATCAAATCTCCCTTCAAACTTGAATCAACGGAACTCCAGACCCAAGGTTCGCCTTTCATTTCAAGGCTATCCCTTACCTTCAAGCATATTTTCCTTATTACCCTGATCTTCATTTTTATTACTTCCTCTCTCACAAAATCCTTTTCCTCTAATGTTCCACACATTTGAACCAATCAAACCTCTATTATGCAGCCTTGCAAGCCAAAAATCTGCAATATTTGGCTCCTAGTTGCTGTCAAGGAATATGCTTACAGGCTTCATATCACAGTGAATCACCCACTCAAGACACTCATGGTGAAGATGGCCAATCCTCTTGCCACCCCAACAGCAATTTGATACCTCTTTTTCCAACCAAGAAGTGCATTTCCATCAAACAATACCTTAACAAGTGAGTCTTTCTCCACAAACTCAAATAACTTTATTTCGCCTCAAGATTCATATGATATATCCTACCAAATAACACTGATATATCCTACCAATAACACTCACTTCTCCGTAGAACCGTTCCTCCTTTTGCCTGACATCTTCCAGCTTCTTCACAGCCGTGACCATCCCATTTTTCAGCACTCCCTTCTACAGAACTCTTGATCTTTCTTGGCCGATCCCTTCCTTCAAACTACGCTTCACCTTTTTGAGCTCTTTATAATTAAATCTCATGAACTGGCTTAAAATCATCTTATAGCCTTTTGCCATCATAACCAAGATATCCTCCTTCCTTTATACAAGTCACCATCAGATTGCAATTACCTACAAAAATTCCAGCCAAGAAACTGCACAAGTTTTTCCAAATCTTGTTTTTTGGTGAACTCTTCAACATCTGTGAAGAGTCAACCATTGAATCAAGTTCAGTTGCATTGCAAATTGGCCCATTTAGCCGTGGCTTTGAGCTGTTTATAATTGTGACAGTTCTCAAAGCTTTTATATAGATGTCAGTAGAAGGATCAGTCCTTCCGTTATATGGCGTGCTTTCAAAAAAACAGTGTCCGATTCCTAACTTATAAGAACAGCCTTGGCAGTTGCAGTCATTCATTCATCTGCTCTTCCATTCATGTAAAGACACAATTTTAATAAGATTAAAATCAAATTCCCAAAAATCTGTGTAATTAAGTACATAAATTCCATCTCCTCCAATTTCACCAGGCAGCTGAGATTATACTTTGTTTTGCAGCCTAATTTCCAGTTGCTGGGATCAGTCATCTCAAAATCTGGATGGCACAAACATTCCTGCCTTAGGTATGAATTACAAATTCTATTTTTTTCCACATAAGCCATGAATTGGCACGTGTCAAGAAATGCCTGCCCTGTAATTTACGACAACCAAGTTGTGTTATCCGAACTGTGAGTTCTACCATTTTCTTACACATTTTGGTGACTGGTTTTGTTTTCTAATTAATAGGCCTGGACAATTTAGTTGTCACACCCAACCTAATAAACAATTTGCCCGTTGTCTTCAGCGCTTTGGACTAGGGTACATAAACGCCGGAGGCCTGTCGTCCCAAATGCCAGTTATGCCACTGCTCGGGCTCAGCTTTGTCGAGTTCTTTGTCAAAGGATACATGGAAGTTTCTAGCATTTTCTTTTTACTGATTCTATAGGGTTGGATCTTGGATGTCTTCTTTCGGATTGAACTATGGTCTATGGAACTCTAAATTAATATCTGAGCATGGCGAATGATAAGAATCTTTAATGGCAAAACTCTATCCTCTAGCTGCTACACTTCCTTCTCCATAAGATATCACTATTTCTTTTTGACCCATGAGCAGTCTTTTTGGAAAGTGCAGAAGCAAATTATGCACATTATGATGGGCAAATCGATGATTTGATTGATCTTCTTACTTCGCTTGTTTTTTGTAGTTTTGAATGCCTAGAATGTTTCAGAAGTTTGTCTCTGCTTCGTAGTTTAGTTGGTTGACGTTTAGTCACTTCTGGTCCTCGACCAACCCCCATTAGCTATCTCACTTTGGTGGACTGCAAATACTAAATTGCTGCTGTGGTTTAATGTCGATGAGACTTCAATTAGTTGTGCTAATTGGCTTCAATTGCATTGTTGTTTGGCAGTTAAGATCCCCTGATTTGGAGATTGCCTCAGTTTCACTATTCAATTACTTTCTTTTTGCCTGTGTTTCACAATTTGGAAATTGCATTTTTATTATATATGATTCATGTGTTTGCTTTCTTTCAAGTTCAGTTCTTGTTTGTTGCCTTAAATCTCTAAATCGGATTTGCCTCGTTCTACACATGAGTTGGCAGTATAGATGGATCGATATTCTGTTGTAGCCGAAATTTGTTGTTGTCTTCCCTTTTCCAGGACTTAATATTCACTGCCTTCCGTTTTTGGCACTGCATCAATTTACAGTTATTGTAGAGATTTTTAGAGGTTGTTGTCTTTGTGGTTTTTGCGATTATAAATAGAGTTGACAAGGTAAGTAAAAATTTAACCCAGTGCTTGGTAATTTTTCAGAAATTTTCTCAAATTTATATGTTGGCTGGATGAGAATTCTTTGACTGCAGTCTCATTTTTTTCTTTTTTTTTTTAATTCTTTTTTTCTTTGATATTTTATTCTTTATTTTTAAATTTTTTGGGTAACAAAGCTAGTGTAGATGATAATTTCCAAGAAAATTTTTTCTTTTTCTTTTTGTATAGCGAAAATCTTTGATTTGGCCTCATTTTTTCAACAAAATTTATAATTTGATAATATATGTGATTGAATTTGATCGAATTTACAGTATAATGATTTTCTGGTTAGGCATGATACGATCTATGTGGTCAGTCACTACAACTTTTGTGGTTGACTGACGCTCTTGCAACTATCAACTACCAACTACGGCCTGTTGTTTTTACTGCAACTTCCCACTATGACTTCTGTAGTCAACTAACTCTCTTGCCGCTATCAACTATGACTTACGTGGTCAATTACTATTGTAGTTTCTTATTACGTTTTGTGGTCAACTAATGCTATTGTAGTCGTTAAATACAATCTTTTTGATCAAATACTATTGTTATCATTTTTAACCGTGGCTTTTGTACCAACTATTGTTTTTACAGACAAAAACTACATATGTTATAGCTCAATTATGACAGTTATTAATGAACTATAGTTGTACATTTGTGATAATCAATTTTGCAATTCAATCTTTTTTTTATTTCAGAAGAAGAGTGAACCAATATACTTGCAAGATATAATAGACTACTTTGACTGGGTTAAGTCCTGTGATTTTTTTCATTTCCAGAATTTTTCCATATACAAAATCTTGATGTCTCATCTTGATATTTCTTTTATTATTTGTGTGTTGAATTTCGTGCAGTGCTAAAACGTTAAATTATCACTCTACTATCACAAATTTTTCGGGACACAACAAGTCTATTTATTATAGTGGATATAAACTTTTGTTTATGTGGCTCCAAGAAGGATTAAGAGTTGGTGAACCATCGTTCCGCCAAGCTAACAAAATCTATCTTTGAAAAAAAAATTATGGAAAAGGTTCACCACTAATTAATCAAGTAATTACTAATAATATCGCTTTGGAAACGGGTAATCCTACTTAAAATTGCATAATTAAATATAAGAAAATATAAAAAAAAAGGAGCTTTTACATACATATCATTTAATACCTACACGTTTATATATCAAACACTTAAATTTCAATTTTTACATATATATGTCAGGTTATGTATCAAAAATTATATTTCACTTTTTAAAAAATGATAATATTCTTAATGTGATATAAAAGAAATGAGTATTATAAATGTAAATAATAAAATTTTGGTGCTAGATAACTAAATACGTAGTAGTTGGATTGTATGTTCGTCGCTCCCAAAGGATATGAATTCCAAGGCGTTTGGGAGGGGTGATGAAAACTATTCAAATAATTGATCCAAACCTTGTTGATTAATTGTTTCAGTTATTCCATGTGATAATCCGACATCAATTCCTAAAACACTCAAATATTAAAACAATTATTTGAGATCACTTTCTATTTTTTATTTTTTTACTTTTTTATTTTTAAAAAATATATTTGATATTATTTATGTTTTAAAAATAAAAAACATAAAATACGTTTTTTTAGAAAATATTTATACTTTTCATAAAACGATTGAGTTAACACGTGTATTCATCATATTCCTTGCTCCACCTAACACAACATTACCTGTTATCTAGCGGGCGACAACTGTTGCTAGCGGAGGCCAACGGAGACTGATTGGGGGAGTGTGGCCAAGGGCTAGCGGAGGCCAACGAGGGGTGTATGGCAAAGGCCAACGGAGACTGATTGGGGGAGTGTGGCCAAGGGAGGCGGTGGGAGAGCGGCGACTGACTCCAAGAGCATGTGGTGGACAGCAGCATGAGGCTAAGGCCAGAGGCAACGACCGGCGCTAGACGGTTGACTAGGCAGTCATTTTGGTGTTTTAAAAATAGATAAAAATATATTTATTTCTATTTTTAATATTTTAAAAACAAATATTCTTCCAAGAAAAAAAAAACAGCAATAAAAAAAAACAAATAACATTATTTTTATATTATTTCTTATGTTTTATTTTCAAAAACAAAAACAAAAACAAATATTGATGCCAAACAGTGGTGATCCCAAATACAAAAGATTTCATGATAATATATAATAATTATTTTAAATTTGCATAATTTTAAATGCGATTTAAATGTCATTTTATATAATCGCATGCGAACCACCCAAAAACATAAACAACTAAGCTTATATAACCTAAACTGACTTTACATTCACGAATTCGTTAATCGTTAGCATATAATTTGAATACATTTTGGTTCGAATAAAGGTGGAACAGAAATACAGAATAAGCTCCATCACACCTTACAGAATTAAACCGAACCAACCTTCCTTAAATCGCACCCTCCTCAAATACCTTAGCTGCAAATGAATTACTGCTGTACATGTAAGAAAATAATGAAATATAATACAAGAATAGTTTTCTCCAACCTAGAAAAGCATGTCATGGAACGAACCAAGTTCTATAAACACTTTCTAAGGGGTCATTCGCTGTAAGCGGTATCTGCTGTTCCTCGTGCTGAGGGCGTATATGTACGTACGTAGACGTTGTCGATCTGAGTGCGTGAGACATACCGGCGGGTTGAGGGCGAGGGATGGTGCTTCAACAAGAAGAAAATGAAGTAAACTCACGGCCTTCGAGTACCAGCCCTCGGCGCTTTCCATGTTTTTCATCTCATCAACCTGAAATTTGAGCAAAATTGTCCTCAGAAAATGGCGGAAATAAGAAATGATAATGCAAGATTACCACTGTGTTTGCCGAATTGCCATTTATTAAAGCCTGAATCAAAATTTGCAATGAAGCTGAGCTAGGGCTCAAGCTTTACCTACACAGCATCGACAATTCGGTAAGTGCCGAATAGCGAGCCAACTTCTAGCACCTCAACAATTCAACCGGCCAACTCGATAGACCCCCTATAGAACCTATTATACTCAAAAGATTGGCCTTCAAAAGTGGATGTGTAATATTTGTTTATATATAATAGACGAACCGTTCTCATGTTGGTGAAATTTCTCTATAACTACTCTACAATTAAAAAATTCTCTGTAACTCTACTCTCTTTTGAATTGCTCCAACTTGGTGGCGAGAATTTGTGGATAAAACAGGATCCAACATATACTTTCAAAGCAGTGTAATAATTGGTAGGCATGATTTAGTCTAAAAAAGAAAATCAAATCACGCCTGCCGAACCAACAAAGTTTGATGAAGAAAATAAACAATAAAAATAATTTGAAATAAAGAAGGGAGAAAAGAAAAAGACAGCAAGAGAGCAGGAAAAATTTCCACTCACAGCACCACGCCTTCCAAAAGCAAGTGCAGATTCGAATATCAGCTCAATAGCATCAGGCATATATGTAGCTTCTGCAGGTAAATAACAGATAACAAAAGCAACATGTAAAGCGGAGCTTACTTTGCTCAACAGTGGAATTAAAGGGAAAACTATACCGTCTACTTGTCCCACGTCCTTAGCAAGTTCCTCTGCACGCTCAACTGAAATAAGAAATTCTTTCTCGATCTCGGACGAAACAGAATATGGCAATGGAGGATCACTGCTGCTAAAACAATTTGTGCTACCAGATGAAGAAGCTTTACTGGTTTGGGGGAATTTAGTGGTCTCAGATGGACTTTCATCTGCAGCAACGACGGCTTGTGTGTGACAGATGTGGAGGCTTTCCTTCAGAATTGCTAGGATTAATAACTGAATAGAGAATGCTTCCAACCGCCTACCATTTTCAAGCTGCAAAAGTTGAACATAAGCAAGTGACGAAATAAGCAATAAATCAAACTTGAAGGAGGTGAAGTTGTTGTGAGTATGTGTAATTAGAGGGTTTTATTGGGTTTATTTGTTAAACATTGTAACACCTATTTAAACGCATGTTTAATGAAATAGTAAGTTTTTACCAAAATCATTTCAATTTAGTATCAAAGCCCCAACAATAGCAACCAGTCGGGGTCCTCATCGGTGGTCTCGATTGTGTGTCATAGCTGGTGCAACTCGATCGATGCAAAAAACAGACACGATCGCCACAGACGTGATCTTCCTTTCTTCCGCGAATTGCTACAGGCGCGAATGGTGGGATTCACACATCGCGGCAGACGGGATCATGGATTGAGGCAGACTTGGTCGCGACACGGCATCACAACAGATGGGCACCGAGAAGGCACCTACCAGATCGCGACAGTCCAGGAGGGAGAGCGTCTCGCAGAGTTCGGTCAGGAAGAGCTTCCACAACTTGCTACGTAAGGAAGGAGTGGAGCAGAGCTCTGTTTCTGGTGTTCTTTGATATGCAACAATCCCGTTGTTGCCTTTGTCGTGAGAAACAACTTAGAATTGTGACTCGAGAGTGAGGAAGTCAATAGAGTGGGGCCTTCGTTTCTGAAGTTGCGACGGCAAGGAGGCGAATGATTGAAGCTGTTACAATTTGGCATTCGAGACAATGGGCTTGCAGCTTCGTGCGGACTAAAGTAAAGTGGATCACATGAACGTGTAGGAAGTGTGAGTGATTACGAATGTCAGAAGACAGATAGTGCAAGAGGTAAGGGATTGAACTCCCGGTGAAGATGGATCTTGAAGTTTTGAAGGTCTTAGTCGGTTTCATACAGGAAGCTAGCATCTCGACGGGAGCCACTACCTTAGCAATGCTTTGAAGCAGGTGAAGTTAGATCTCCCTCCTGTGAATCTGAAGCTTGGTGGGTCAGCCACGTATTTGAGTTGGTCGCGTCGGATCAAGGCTACTCTAGTAGGGAAGAGGCTAGAATGATACCTGACGGGAGTCGAGCCAAAAAGTGATAGTGCTGAGAGGAATGAGTGGAGAACCACACATGTCTTGCTTTACACCTGGTTACTCAAACTCAATGATTCCATTGATTGCCTCAATTGTGGATGACAATAGAAAGGTGAGCGCAATTTGGGCGAAGCTGAAGAAGATTTATGTTGGAGCTGGGAATCACATGAGTGTTCCAGATTCAGCATGAAATAAAGGCAGTAGTTCAGGGTGATAGATCAATTCAGAATTACTCAATAGATCTAGAGTGGTTGTGGCAAGTTCTTGATCACCTCCACCTATCTTGAGTTGTAGTGATCCAGGATACAAGACGGAGAAGATCTTTGCACTGATGAGGAGTATGTAGTTTCTGGTTCATTTGAACGTGGCTTTTGATTAGAGGAGATCGGTTCTTTTAGCACAGGCAATGATTCCTTCATTAGATGAGGCCATCACAGCGATGATACGAGAGGAGAGTTGCATTAGCCTGTATTCTGAGTGAAGTGAATTTTCAGGCATGTGCGATCAGCTTTGGCCGCCTCAAGTGAAGGTATGACAAGTGCTCAGGGTGAGACCCACAAGTGCTACAACTATGAAGAAGTAGGACACTTGAGTAAAGCTTGTCCAAAGCAACCCAAAGAGAGAGAGACTGGCGGACAAGGATAGTCTAGAGGTCGTGGTCGTGGTCGTGGTTGTGGGGGTCGGAAAGGTGGAAGAGAGAGTTACCGGACAAATATGATGGTAGTAGAGAACGAGGGAGAAACAAGTGTGAGCTTTATTAGTGAGAATCATGAGTGTATGGAGCTGTTGAAGTGGAAACAGAAAGCAACAGGAGATGGAGTTGAGGATGTTTCAAATCCATCGACATCAAGGGGTAACATTGTCAATTATTCTCACTTTAGCAAGGGAACTGGTGAAACACTTGCTCTTGCCTCTATTTCCACCACAAGATCATCAGAATGTATCATAGATTATGGTGCTTTTCGTCACATGATCGGTACTACTGGAGAGTTCTCTTCATATACTCATCTAGCAGTACCAGAGAGTATACATACTGCTGATGGTAGAGCGCAGCCTGCAGTTGATAAGTGTACAGAGAAATGTACTAATCATAAGACATTGTCCCATGTTTTACAAGCTCATTCTTTTCCAGTAAATCTCTTATCCATTATGGTTCTTGTTCACCAATTAAAATGCATTCTTTCTTTTGGCATTCCCTAGGTGATCCTCCAAGAGAAAGGGATGGGTCGGACACTTGGGACTGGAACGTGGCATAGAGAACTTTGGTACTTGGACCGAGAGGTGATAGACTCAGCTTTGACATCCATGATGAAAAGTGCTGTAGTACAAGAATCTGGGAGGAACGTCGAGGATGTGCTACTGCTACATCACATAGCTATGAGACATTTTAGTCTTAGTTTACTGAGTTGGTCTCTATCAATCTATGTATGAAAAGGCAAATAAGGAGAAATTGGTGTGTGATACTTGTGAGTTTGGCAAGCTCACTAGGAGCGCTTATGTCGGTTTTGGGAATAGGTTCTCTGGTGTGTTTGATTGATACATTCTGATGTATTGAGATCTTGTCCTACTAGTTCTATGAATGATTATCATTATTTTGTTACGCTTATTGCTTATTTTTCTCGTGTAATCTAAATACATTTGATGAAACAAAAGTGTTAGATGGTTGATTGCTTCAAAGATTTTTCACAAGACAATCCAGACTCAATATGGGGCAGTTGTGAAGGCACTGAGATTTGATAATGGACAAAATATATCAACAAAGCATTTGGGGACTACCTGCACATAATGTAGCAGAGAGAGAATCAAACATCTTCTAAAGGTGGCCTAGAGCATGATGATGGCAATGAATGTCTCACAACATTTATGGGGGCAAGCAGCGTTGACAGACGCTCAATTGATTAACAGGACACTCTCAATGGTGCTAGAGTGGAAGTTTTTTTGTCAAATGTTGAAAGGAGACAATAATGAGAATCTTCCATTGAAAGTATTTGGGTGTGTATGTTTTGTGAAAATAAACAAACCATTTGTAAGTAAGTTAGATCCCAGAGCTGTGAAATATGTGTTCGTGAGTTATTCTACTACTAAAAAAAGTTATGTCAGTTGGAGCCCTATTGAGAAAAGACTCTTTATAAGTATGGATCTGTCATTCAGAGAGTTTGAACCATATTACACTTTGCATGTGAATTCACTTTTTGGTGACTCAACGAAAATTGAAGATATGAGACAAGAGAGAGTGAGCAGTAGTGGTGATGGAGTGATGCGAGTGGGAGCAATATCATGTCCTATGATGTGGGATGAATCAACTGAGTAAACAAACATCAAAGAAATTAAACCCAAAGGTGATAGGATTCAGGCTGAAGGTGAGCTAAGGATGAAAGAAGCAAGCTGAGGGAACAGAGTCTGTAGAGCTAACAAGTATCTTATCCCGGTCTTCCCCAACTCTTGAGACACCTACACCATCCACCTTTGATTCAAAACTCTCAGGTGATATTATTCCTCCTCCGTCCACTCCTATCCCCCCCAACATTAAGGAGGACCTCCCGTAGCAATGCGAGACATCCTACTGATCGTTCTGGGTGGGAACTTAACATTGTGAACTTTATTTCTTATTCTAACATCTCAGATTTACATGAAACATTCATTGCGTCATTGAACTTTGTCTCTATATCCAAAGTGTTAGCAAGTTGCTAAAAAAGATCCCAAGTGGAGAGCGGTGATTTATGAGCTTGGAGCTCTTGACAAAAATCAAACATGGGAGATTGTACCACTACCAACAAGGAAGAAGACAATTGGATGCAAATGAACCTTCACGATAAAACAAACTCCAAAAGGAAAGATGAAAAGGTACAAAGCATGACTAGTGATAAAAGAGTACAATCAAATGTATGTTGACTACGATGAAACCTTTGCACCAGTAGCAAAGATGAGTGTGATGAGGGCAATAGCTTTTCTGACAGTGAATGGTGGATGGAGACTCCACCAACTCGATGTGAAGAATGTTTTTATTTATGAGGAGCTACTGAAGGAGCATATATGGAGATACCACCAAGATTCAATACATCTCAGACAGTAAGGTGTATAGGCTCAGGAAGTCATTATATGACTTAAAGCAGTCTCTTCAAACCTAGATTGACAAGTTTAGAATAGAGATGATTGACAGAAGATATCAACAAATCAATGCAGATAAAAGTGTTATTATACTTGCTGTGTATGTGAATGACAATCACTGGTGATGATGAGGCAGAAATTTCTCAACAGAAGGGAAGATAGGAAAACAATTTGAGGTAAAAGATCTGAGACAGTTTAGATATTTTCTTGGGATTGAAGAGATTAGGGGTATTAAAAATTGACTCGACACGCCAACACGACTCGAACTCGACTCGAAAAGTTCGGGTTAGGGTGACCCGAATTTTTTTCGAGTCGGGTTCGGATCAGAAAATTCGACCCGTTTATTATTTTGGTTGGGTTCGGGTTGAACCTGAAAACCCAAAGATGACCTAAAGAAGCACGAAATTTTGGGTTAGGTTTGTATTAGCAGGTCATGCTCGGGTTCAGGTCTTAATTTTCGACCCGTTTATTATTCCGAGCAGGTTCGAATTGACCCCATTCGAGTCTAGTCATTTTTGGGTCGAACCCGAACCTAAACCGTTGACCCTAATTGACACCCCTAGATGTGGCCCATGAACCATGAACCTGAGGGGATGGTCCTTTCCCAGATAAAGTATATAATGGATCTTCTCACGTAGACAGGTATGCGCGAGTGCAAATCTACAGTCTCTCCAATTGATCAGAAGGTCAAACTCAGTACAGAAGTAGGTGAATTTGATGTCGTGAAAGTTACCAAAGGCTGGTAGGCCCCCTGATCTATCTGTGTCACACTCGACCTGATATCCCTTTTACAATAAGTGTGGTGAGCCGCTACATGCATGATCCAAGGAAGGGTCATACAGATGCAATGTATTAGACTCTCAGGTATCTGAAGAGTGCACCAGGAAAAAGGATTGATATGCATGAAGAATGAACATGTAGATATTGAGGGCTTTTGTGATTTTGACTAAGAAATTGTGCTAATGATAGACGATTTACATCAGGATACTGCATGTTTGTAGGTGGCAACTTCGTCTCATGGAAGAGCAATAAACAGGGACATGGCATTAGGAGTTGCTGAGATGATGTGGCTGAAAGTCTTGTTTGTTGAACTCAAAGTAGATCAGGGAACTCAAATGAAGTTGTGGGGAACTCAAATGAAGTTTTGGTGTGACAACAAGTCGGCAATCTACATTGCTAACAACCTGGTGGCTGACTGCCTCACTAAATGACTTAGTTCAGTGGAGTGAGCTAGATTATGTGACAAGATAGGCTTAGTGAATATATTTCGCCTATCTAGAGGATGTGTTGTGAGTTATGTGTAATTAGAAGGTTTTATTGGGTTTATTTGTTAAATAATGAAACAGCTATTTAAACACACAAGTTGAAAGGCATAGATAATGAAGATGACCGATCAATTTTTAGACAAAGTGCTCTAGGAGTAGACACATGGAAGTGATGAATAGAAGCATCATATGGTAATATGTAACATTTTCTTGGCAATAAACAAGTGCTAGTGGCAGCATAAGACAAGTACAATAAAGAAAAGGGGAATTTACATACATAGCACAAAAATTATCATGTATTTACATATCTCACACCTAAACTTTCATATTTACACACGTAAGACTCAAATCTTTAAGTATCCTACCACTTTTTAAAAGTGAAATATACATTTTCATGCACATCGATTTAAAACACCAAAGTGCTATGTATGTAAATATGGAAGTACAAATGTGATTTATATAAATACATAAGAATTGTGTGCTGCGTATGTAAATTTCCTAAAGAAAAAAGAAGCAACACTGCCCAAAATTCTTTTCCTCATGTTACTAAATATTCCTCATTAGGTTCATAAATGAATATGAGTCAATATAAGTACCATTAGCACAAGCTGAGTTTGAATATGATCCAAATATTAAAATTGCGTTCAAGCTCATTTCTTTAACTTCTTATCAAGCTCAAGTCATAATTGAACTTTATATATGCCCACACAAATATACTGATGTGGAGTGCCCGAATCTGGGTAATGCAACCACCACGATCTCATATGACACATGACGCTTGATTACTAATTCCAATAGATTTCTCTTTTCTAATCTACTTTCAAATTAGATTATTTGCTATTAGAAAACTATTTATATGTTGTTGATGAGACTTTCGCTCGTTTGAATTTACGGAGATTGTAATCTATGTTTTCTATCTTAAGAAGTGTTGCATCTTTTCCTTTTACAAATGGTGTACATGTGTTGTTTAGGAAAATGGTAAACTTTCCCACTGCCCGTATCTCGCCATTTCGTCATCCAGCCTGTTGTTTTTGGCCAGGACATCCGTCAAACGATACTTATGTCCTTCCAAATGCCGTCAACATTGCATATTTTTGTTCCATCACTATCCCATAACTACCTCCCCGAGAAATCCGCTTTTCAACTATCTTCAAGGAACCCTAGAACGATATTATCTGGCATCAAAGCCCGACAAACCCTAAACATTGAGGGATTTGCCTTCCTTGCTCTAAATCCAAAATTTCAAATAAAAAAAAAATCTCCACAATACCAAAAACCATTCATACCATAATTCCTAGCCCAAATTCTAAATTTTCAAAATCCCATCTTCTTACCTTCACCAAAATTCCACCTCGACGCCTACCACCAACATCCTAGTCCTAAATTATCATTTTCTTTTAATGAAAAACTCGGTTGGAAGACGAGTTGTTATGCCACCAAAGAGAAACCCTCAATGAAGTGCTCAAAAACTTGCTATGGAGAATATACAACATAAAATCCTTCAACAACAAGAGAGGTTTGCCGCCTTTAAAAGGAGACGATCCGTTGAGATCACCCAAAGCAACAATGATGACTCGCGAAATCTAAAAGAAGTGAACCCTTTTCAATAGAAAATTTTCAATGACTAAGAACCAATACCCTGGTGATTTGGCATGACATCAACAAAAAAGCTAAGAGTTTAGAGTGAAGATTGACTTGTTGGATTTTGAGGGTACATGGATCCAGATGAATTCATCGAGTAGCTCTAGACAATAGAACAAATATTTGAATACAAAAACATTCTACCAGACGTAACGGTAAAGCTAGTTGCCATTAAGTTAAAGAAGAATACATCTTAGCGACGAAAATTTTTGAAAAGCGTGTGCTAGCGAGAGGGAAAAGTCAATATCACGGCATAGTCCAAGATGAAGATGCGGCGCAAGTACCTCCCATCGCATTACAGTTAGAACACGTTATTGAGACTTCATCAATTACAGTAGCAATGTCACTCAGTAAAGGAGAATATAGCTAAACTTGAGCAACTTATAATGGATCCCAATGAGAACAGCATAACTCAATATATATGGGATTGAGATAATCCAACGACAAAGTGATACAGCTGCAGCCCTATTGGACATTAAATGATGTCCAGGCTTTAGCCCTAAAGGTGAAGCGACAACACGACAATATCCTGTCCACGCCCCCTTTCAAATTCGACCATCGGATCAGACAATAAGAGTTCATCCAGCGGGCATCCAAACCAACCCCCGCCAAAGGAGAAACCAGTTCAGAGTACAGGTAGAACCAACCATCACTCCCAAATTCATCCCAGCCAAGGGTACATTGCACCAGATTGACAAAATAGAAGGATGATCTCATTCACTGAGCAAGGAGCGGTGTAAGAAATGGATAGTGACATAGGAGCGCATGAAGATATCACAAAAGAGTATCAGCTTCCAGCCAATGGAAAAGAGATGCTAGTGATTCAAACTGAGCCCCTGAGAGAGACTTCAATATGGCTGATATTGGTTGTCCTGGGAGATAGTGAGTCTGAGGAGCCGATAGTAGAAAAGGACCAGCCCTTGTTGCAGTTGTCGAACATCTTGATTGACAGTTTCTCTTTCTTGAATGAATACCATCAAGAGAAATCAAGAATGCCATAGACCTCATTTTAGGGTGTTTGGCCAAACCAACCTGTTTATTGGATGCAACCAAGCGAGTATGAGAAACTATAAAAACATTGTTGTGGAGCTCAGATGCAGCTCCAATTTTGATTGTGTCGAAGAGGGATAGCTATTTATTCTACAAAAATAAACTTTGGAAGAACGTACAAATTTCAAAGTTATCTTAGAGGACATGAGCATAAACATTGTGGTGGAGCTCATCCAACCACAATTGTGCAATGATTTTGTTATGATGGTAGATCAATTCTAGAAGCTTCCTGATAAAAAGATGAAACTCCTACCCCGAGAGAATGATGTGGAGCACCCAAATCGCGATAAAATGATCCCAATCCAGTGTGACACGGAACGCCCAAATCCCGACAACGTGATCCCAATCGCATGACCACCGCGATACCAAGGAATCCACAATTCCATAAGATCACAAACCCTAACGCGGTCACAGAAATGCACCCTGTCCGCTCTAGCAAATTTTCTATTCTAAAATTTTCCTTTTTCTCTAATTTCTAATTAGGTTATTTGCTATTAGGAACTATTTATAAGGTGCTAGTTTTTCGATTGATGAAACTTTTTGCTTTGTTTGACTTTATGGACATTGTAATCTATGTTTTCTGCATTGAGTATAGTATCTTTTCCTTTTTGCAAGTGGTGTGCATGTATCTTGTTCAAGAATGATAGTGAATCTCCTCGTCACCCATATCTCATCGTTTTGTAGTCCGACGAAAGATGCTTATCCAAACATATTTGAAATTGCATATTTTCATTCCATCGCTATCCCACAATTAACGTTTTGTAGTCCGTGAAATCTGCTTTCCAAATGCCTTCCAGAAGTCCTAGAACGGTATCATACAAGTTAGATGCTAGAATGCCGAATTTATAACTGCATTATCTATATATAAAAAATATTAAATTAAAAATTAAGTTAATGAACAACATGAAATGAGTACTTTCTCAACCTCTTATTAAACTATTTGTTAAACAACAGACATTATCCACAAGCATAAATAAATAAGAGAGACAATGCTCAAGCCTGTTTATGTAGATGTCAAGCTTCTTAATTTATGTTCTAGTAAACCAAATATTAACAATTCATAGCAGCACGAGTACAGGTTTGTTCGTTGGAAAAGTTGAACTTCTTATTGCCCAATTCTAAATATTAACATACGTAGGAGAAACATTTATTATACATACAACATTAAATTTCCTTGAGTTCTACAATTAAATAGAAATCACATGCTTCAAATATCATATTAATTCAATCATGGGGCTTACCTCGTCCTTCAGCAACTCGGTCATTACAGAAGTGCATTTTTGCAACAATCTAATCCTTGTAATGCATTGAGCTGATGGTTGTTCGATAGTATCCCCCAAATCCATGGATCCTTCTTGTGGATAGCTGTGACTTTCCAGGCTACCCATAGTGTGGTTCTTATTGATGGGAACTCCGAATATCGGCATTGGTGTACTTAATGCACTATTTCTAGATGCTGCCAGAGAGTAATCTGATTTGCAGGTAGAGTTGTGCAACTCAGAGAAGCTTAATAAAGAAGATGACATCTCTAAGGGAGATCTAGACACAATGACATACTCTTGATCAACCAAGTCTAGTGAATCCACAATTTTGGGATCTATGAATTTGTTAAAGAAAAAGTTAGAACCATCAATTGATATCTAGAAAACAATGTATTGGATATAAAAAAGGAATGGATGTACCCTGTTTAGCATCTATGGCACCCGGACGTGTTCCCGTCGTATTTTGGCTTGGGAGTTCACAGGAATCATGTCCATAAGACGTTTCCATTTTGTTGGTGGAGCTAGGTTCTGTGGAAGCACTGAATTTGGAGGAATTAGTAGGACATTTATAGACTCCCACGTTAAATCCATAAGTGGGTATAACAGGGCTGCCATTCGCAGCTGTCAACAGGCTTCCATGACTCTCTGCAGACTCATCATCTAAAGGGAAAAGCAAGCAAGCTTGATTACTTCTTCCTGCGGATCTATGGCCAAAATCGGCTAATGCAACAGATACACTCTGGCTGCTCATGATTGCAAAGATTTAGATGGGTAAAAAAATGAAATTTCGTTGGTTAACTTGATATAGTCTCAAGCATTGGGTGCAAGATGCTCACATCGTTAATTCATTTGACTTCTGTCGTGAAAGAAATGGGTGGTTGAAGAACTCCTCAAAAGTTATACGCTCCACTGGAGATATTTTCATGCAGGAAGTTAAGAATGACAAGCCAACTCAAATAATAATATGACAATAAGTGTACATGAGGTTCAAGCACCGCTAAAAACGGCATAAAAACATGATTTTCAACAATTTAAAAGCTATAAACAATGAGAATCGTCACTAAAGTATTTATAAAAAAAGCAATGGACATTCAACTAGAAAGGCATCAAATCGCGGAAATATGCAAAAGATTTAGGCAACAAAAAATGCACAATCAACTATTTATAAGCCAACTAGTTTTTAAGATTGCAATATTCATGATGATACAAAAAGAGTTTATCATCCCAGCATTGCAAGCAAATTTCACATATACAGATAAAAATTGAGAACACATAAAAAAGTATTAAGTTTTTTTAATGTGAAGAACCCTAGAAACAAAAAATAATGGGGCCTAGCCTAGTTGGAAATGATTTTAGTATGAATTAATAATTATAAAAGGCGCCTTTCCCAAAATTGGAAAATGTGTTAATTCAATGTAAATGACATGAATGGTGGAAAACATCTCCTGTGGTGGTATAAGTCTTGAGATGTAAAAATTGTAATCATTTTATCAAGGGTAATTAGCTTGATCTGAGACTAACAAATTGTGCATCGGAAGTCGATAGTTAACGTAGATCAATCGTTGGCAAGCATCAGGAGACCATTGAAAAGAAACATAAAAAATCAAACAATCAGAGCAATCATCTTAATAGTTCATTCGATAGGAAAGGAAACCAAGGAATCAATAAGATCAGAATTGATGGCTAATAGACATCAAAAATCAATCATTTGTAGGCATCCAATGATGACAATGGAGAATGTCGAAAGGCCTTCAATGGTGGGCGATCAACATAATTATTCTCCTTATAGAGACAAAGTTGCTAGAAAGAAAAGAGCCAGATATTGATAGCTAACACACATGAGACATTGGCGACTGATAGAGAGGATTCGCTCGACAAAAATCGTGTATAGAAGGTCAAATAGTCCTTTTAAGGTGGCTACCATCCACCGACAATCAATGGGGACTTTCAGAAGTCGGCCAACAAAAAGTGACCGGCCTGGTTGCTTTCTTAGTTGGAGAGTATTGGGCGATTAAGGAAGGCATTGGACCAAACTAGCTACCAAACATTAAACGGCGGCGAGCCTCAATGTCAATTAACGATGAGTGTCAGGTAATGGCATTGACAATTTCAAAGCAATAAATAGCCAGCATTTGGCAATAGCTATGGAAAACGACAACGATGATGGCTGATGGATGATGAGATGCATCGGCTTGGTAGACTTCAAGCGCCAATGGTGAGTAGAGCTCTACAATTCTCTCAAATATCCAATTTCTCTCAACTAAAAATCCTCCTCTAAGTGTTTAGAACCATGTCATTTATAGATTTCAAGTATGTTCCAATCATTCCTAGCAAAAATCAGAATACTCCATGAGATGGTATAAAAAAATTACATTTGACGTTCTATATATTTTTAAAATATAAGTGCATTAATGAATATGGCATTGAGTGACATCGGACTTGTTCAATTTTTCTCATCAAAATACAAGTTTAGACTACAAAAATGTAAATTTTGAAGCATATTTGAACCCCTTAATCGCCTTCAAATATTTTCAGCCACGAGGGCTTGATTTATGATCATTTAGACTGATTCAAGCATTCCAGGTATCTTTGTATTTATCTTGTTGAATGCACTATTTCAACTGAGTTGCTAAAAAATGAAGTTCAAATGATATTGATGTCAATTGCTAAAGTTTATGACCCAAATCCAAAAAACGTGTCAATCTATGTTTGTTTAGAAGAATTTTCTAGTAGCATATCAAAGATTATTCAAGTTATATAACGATCAATAGGTTGTCATCATATCAGAGATGCCTACCTGGATTTCGGCGTAGCAACTTCTTGCATAAATCAATGCAGTCATGGCTCAGATTATTTTCTGGAGGGAAATGCACCTCCTTCGATTTATATATATTTTCCAGCAGCTGGTTAAAAACGATAACTATTTTATCAAAATTATATGTTTTTTTTTCCTTATTTTTTTGGTTTTTTTTTGGGTGATGGTAGAAGTAAATCAAGCAACGATACCTGCACTTGAGTGCTACCAGTAAAAGGAGTCTTTCCGGTGACTAGCTGAAATAAAATTGCACCAACGCTCCAGAGATCTGCCTGTACCTCCAGCAGTAGGAAATAGAGTTATTGGAGAAGGAATGTTAATAATTTTAAAAGATGAGATCAATGATGTTACCTTTGCATCATATTTTTGATAGTGCATTATTTCTGGAGCCATGTATAGAGGAGAACCACATAAAGTTTCAGCTAGAACACGAGGTTCCAAAAGCCTGACAGGTGACTTAACTTTAGCTTTAAAGCAGTATATAATACAAAAAGGGATTTCAGTATACAGAGGAGCCAATTTAAGAATTAAACACATTTATGCAAATTCTGAAAAACACCAAGGTTCATTTTAAAAGTGAAAACAATATATGGTAAAGCTCTATTTTCCATAGAAATGTCAAAGCATCCAAATGACCTAAACATGTTGATTAAAGGGTGTTGCAAAGACTTTGAATCTTTATTAGAAAAATGTATGAATGATTTTAAAATTTTATTTCAGTACACACTTCAAAGAAGAAAATAAGACTTCATCAAGAAACAGAATGTAAACAGAAGACAAAGAAAGAAAAAATTCAGTGCAAGTAAGAGTAAATAAAGAAAAAATGGCATAAAAATGGTCCTAAAATGTGATCTTTATATGAACAAGAGGCAAGTTTACATTCAAACAACAAGAATAAAAAAAATACATTAAAAAAAAATTACATAAATAAATCTCACCTTGCAAAGCCGAAATCTGCAATTTTCAGCACAGAATTTTCATTGGATGCTGAAAGGAGGAGATTCTGTATATCAAAATCACCATTAGACCATTTAGTTAATGCCAATGCAAGTATACTCATTCTCCAACCTTGTTGTACCATATAATTGACTTCAATTATAATCCTTCTGGTACTAATTATAATATTTTTTTTCCAGAAAAGACTCAACATTTTTTTCATATAAACATATACACACACACACAAACACAAACACACAAAGTTATGATGTGACGTCTAAATCTTTAACTATCAATGAAGTAATTGGTTTTCTTGATTTAGGGCCCGTTTGGGGCAGCTTATAAGCATTACGGCGTTTTTGAAAACGCCGCCTAACCGTTTGGTTTGCGTGTTTTTGAAAACTTTTTCTGCCGCGTTTGGGTTTTTTACACTAAACGCAAACCGCAGTTCGCCCCGCGGGCCGCGTTTCAGAATAAGCTGCTTATACTGAAACGCACAAGCTGCCCCAAATAGGGAAAAAATTTGTGTACGTCAAGGGGTACGCAGAGGGTACACTGGCGTTATATGGGGTTACAAGCGTGTTATAACTTCCTTGTAACTTTTGTGTAACACAGCTGTAACCCGTGTTTTTATTTTATCCATTGAGATTACACGATTACAACGGGGTTACACGGGAGTTACACGGGAGGTACAACGGGTTATAACCCCCTTGTAATCCCCGTATAAACCTCGTGTACCCTATTATGTACGCATCTCTGCGTACCCCTTGATGTACGCAAATTTTTTTCCCCTAAACAGACCCTTAGAAGAACCTGAACATGGTAGAGGCATAACCATATGAAAGTATCCAAACAACAATAAGAAAATTTTAAGCACTACTTATACAAAAGCAACACAAACCGGTGCATAACCACAACATTTGGTTCACGGATCTCAAAGACATCATTGAGGAAAAAGAGCCATTAATGAAATCTTGTGCCAAAAAAAATTTCTAGCTATGGACCTGCTATTGTAGATTTTTATAAGAACCAGTCCATATGCAATCTTTATTATGTTAGTTGGAACATGGCTCACAAATAAAAAAAAGTGTTAAAATAGTCCCATGACTCTTTGCAATGGGTCATTTTAGTCTCAGAGTCTATAAAGTGTCCATTTAGCGTAGCTTATTGCTGCGTCCGACGTTTTCGGAACGTCGTTGGTTCGTTTTCTTAGCTCGTTGGGTCCGGCGGTTATCCGGTGGGATAACACGCGTAAAGTTTTCTATACTAAACCCTCGATCGTTCGCCGTTGGGAGAGCCTCGCGTTCCGCGTATAGGGTTAGCTTATTACCTCACAACCCCTCGATCTCGTCTCCTCTGTCGTTGCCCTAGCTCTGCGATCAAGCTTCTGTGCTCGGCTCTCGATATCGTGCACCCTTCCCCTCCCCCATTTCTCGTTTGTTAAGTTGTGGATCGAGAGGTACCAATTCTTCTCGCCTCCTCGCATTTTCTTGAAAGTTTTACGAGAGCTTTGTTCCTAGATCGAGAGGTATCGAGTGTTGTCCTCGCATTTTTTGAGTGCTATGATTCGAAATTTTTTTCCTATCTCCAATAAAGAAATTGATTTTTGATGGATATTTTGCTAGTACAAAAATGGATTTTTTAGCTAGTACTGCAATGCTTAAATTTTTGGTGGATTTTTTGATCGATTCTTCTCGCATTTTCTGAGTGTCGGTTGGTGAAAGCCATAAGATTCATGAGCATTATATGCTTTCTGATATTTGATGACACCAAAATTGATTTTTGATGGATGGTGGGTTTTGTGATATTTATGAGATTGGTAGAATCATGAATATTTCTACTCTGCTTATGTTTCCCGTTTATAAATTTCGAATTATGAATCTTTTTGATGGATTATTTGCTAGTACTGCAATGCTTATATGCTTTCTGTCGGGTGCCATACAATTCATATGCTCTCTTGTGTTCTCTGAGAAATTTTTAGAGAAAAAGGAAATCACTGTAGGTTACTCTTTGGAGAAACTGTTTCTAGAAATAGATACTACATAGTTATTATTGAGACAGAGATTATAGTGAATGTTTTTGGTACCTTCTATTGAGGCATACATTTGTTGCTACCAGTGAAATTTTGTTTCCCGTTAAGGTCATCTTTCTTTCCTATAGACTGCAAAAGATGGTACGCATGTGGAAATACTCATATTAGGAGGCATATGAATTGGGTTTGGGCACAGATGGAAATATGTTGATGCGGAAATTGAAACACAGTGGTATATTGAGCATTATAAGCTGCATCATGTGGGAAATGTATGGCTAATAATATAAGCTGCATCATTATGGCTAATATTATATTTCCCGTTAGCATTGGGAAATGCATCATGTGGAAATTACTCATATTATGAGGCATATGAATTGGGTAGTTTTCATGTTTCTTTTATTAGTTAAAATTTATAGTTTGCTCTCACTTTTGAATGTTAGGAATAATGGGGAAATATTGGAATGCAGGAATGTTTCTTTTGATGGAATTATTAGCTACAAAAAAACACATGTTTAGGCTTCCACGATATTTCTGCTCTTATATTCTCATTGTGTTTTGCGATATATAGTGGGGAAAGCTTGATAATGTTGTTTGATACATTCCTATGGGTTTTTCTTGCTTCCTTTGATGTTGATGGTTCCTGTGAAGTGTTTTAAGACGTTTCTTTATTACCAAAAAGGAATTTTATGAAAATTGGCAATTTTTTTCCTGGTTCGACACAAGTTCATTTGTCTTCAATCATTTGCCAGCCCTGTTGCTTGTTGGGTTGCATTCGGTACTCCACTTGAAATTGCACACAGAGAAAAGACTACAAAAATCAGTTATATGTATGGAGCTTGTTTATTTGAGAGCATGTTGTAGTAAGCTTATATATTTGAGAGCTTATTCGTAGCTATGTAATCTTACAGATTTGTTTAATAAAACTTTCGTGGATTGTCTTCTGTGGATGTAGGTCACTGGCCGAACCACATAAATCTTTTGTTTACCAGTTTTTCTTGGTAAATTGGAACGTTGTGGAAATGATGTGGGTTTTTTATGTTTATTTATAATATGTTCTTTTTTTTTTAAATTGCAAAAGATAATTTCATAAGTTGTAGAATTGATCGATGAGTTGGGCTATTTTTTACACATTTAGAAAATATTTATTTTCCATTATTCCCTAGAGTTCAATGTCTAAGACGACTGAAAGGGGTCCCTCCGCAATGTGGGATAAAGAAGTTATCAATATATTTTGCGATCTATGTATTAAGAAAATTGAACTGGGGAACAGATCAACTACGTATTTTAATAAGGAGGGTTGGCAAAATATTGCTAAAAGGTTCAAAGAATTGACTATAATAGATTACGACAGGCTTAAATTCAAAAACAAATGGGACCAATTGAAGAAAAAGAAAAATATGGAAGGAGCTGAAACGTGGCTCTACCGGATTGGGTTGATAGTGCAGATAAGGACAGACGTAGTCAGAGTTTGAAATTAAATATTTTAATAATTCTCATTGCAATTGTACTTGTCTTTGTACTTTTTTATTTCTTCTGTTACTGACGAGAGTGTGAGAATTTCATGTCATCTTTTGGAATTGATTTGTGATGATTGCATGATTCTGCACTTGTTTTTGTACTATTAATAAACTATTCTGAATAAGCTGCCCCAAACAATTTTATCAGACAGGGACAGAAATGTCATTTACTAATAAAATAATCTGAATAAGTTGCCACAAACAGTAAGCCAGATTATTCTGATAATCATAATCTGCAGATTATCAGCAGATTATCAAAATAATCAGTTTATCAGTAGATTATAAATAATCAACAACTGCGCCAAACAGACCCTTAATCATTAGACTTTTTTATATGAGCTAAAACTATCATCACGGAATACTACTTCGGCTCTAATTTCAAGGGTACTGACTAAATTGACACTGTTATAAACTCTGAGACTAAAATGACAATTTAAATAGTTAGGGGACTCTTTTGACGCTTTATTCCTCACAAATATAACAATATATTATGCTAGCGCCTAAGGGTGATTTACTCTTTTATTATTTATTATTCTTTAGTATAAATAGAGTTAATATGTTTAAAGTTAGAGTTATACATAAGTAGGTGATATTGATTTTTAGGTTTAGAGTTTGGGAGAAAACGCCTGCCACTCAAATTGCAGATGTTAGGGTTAGGATTTGGAAAAGATTACCAACTCTCAAATTGTAGGTGCTTGTTTCTATGAATTCTAGTTGTGCTGTTTTAGTTATTGAAGAAATACAATTTGTTTTGCCATAATTTCTCTGGATTTTTGTATCAAATTGATATTAAAGCTCTCAATTTTAGGTAAAGCAAGAAAAGATTGTGGCATGAACCAAGTATAGTGGCATGCTGGCTCCGAAAGACCAAGAGAAACGAGTACATATAGCCGCGATAGAAGCTAGTTGGGTCAGCGATCTAGATCACTGCATACAAGGATCGCGATGTACAGGGCCAGTGATTGGAAAGGATCGTTGTGTATAGGGAAGCGAACCACAAGACAATGAATTATATTGACATAATTGATTCGTGATATAGTTGCAATTGGAACTAGCTGCCAACGACAGGATCACCTTCCTGACTTGATACCGCAACGCGATTCCAACAAATTGGCAAGGATCGTAGCGCACGGTGTCACATTGGTGACCTGGCCTCGCAAAACAGTAGTAGTGTGGGATGGCTGGGAGGCCAAAGAAGGGATCGTGGGCGAGCATGATTAAACATATCCGAAGTTAGCATCTCTGAGATCATGGAGAAATGGCAGCAAGAAAAGTGGACGCTTTGGAAGAGTGATTGGAATGAAAAGTGGGGCAACTTAAATCCAGGATAGAGAAAAGGTTCTCAGCCATAGATGAAAGGCTTTCCTCCATTAACAACCGATTTGAGAGCTTGGAGAAATTAATGAGGCTTATTGAAATGCAATCCAAGACCCCGCTACCGACTTAATTGATAAACCCTAACCAAGGGTTAACCAGATAATCCTTGGCGAAATTGAAAAGCAAAGAGTTCGAATGAGA